ATAGTATGCAAAACGTTTGGTAAACTTTTTAAAATGCCGTTTACCACACTTGTTGGATATTAATTAATTAATAATTAGTTAATAATAATTTATAATTAAAAATAATAATTAACCAATTGGTAAACTTAAATAACAATGAAGAGAGGGTTGTTATAGCTCCTGTGGTTTTGTACACTTAAAAAAAAAACTAGTGGAGTTCTTAAATAAATAGTCCCTTTTTGTCCTATCAACCGATTTGGAAATATTTAAATCAGGTATTCTCTTACCTTTTGTGTATAATGGGGAGGTGCCCTATCATCTTCAAACCATGTGCGATAATCAATCATCCATTAACGAATTTATTCAAACGAGTGAGATGTATCTTGTATGGTTCATACTTATTTTCAACTCAACATTCAACTCACTGACGACTGACTAAAATTATTATCCGCAGTCAGTTTGAGCATTTATTAAAATCAGTACCTATTTTCTTTGTTTTTAAACAGTTGTTAGAGTTATTTAAGTTTACCAATTCGTTACAATCATCGATTATCTCCTTCATAAGTTAAATTTTAGTTTATTAATTAGATCATTAATTATTTTAAGTCTACTAAATTTCATAAATTTAAGATAGAGACAGATATAGAGATGTATGACCGTTGCACGGCATTTGTATAAAACCTGTAACTAGCAAATAATTGAAAATAATTATTGAGACAAAATATCTTTAAATTGCCAAACCTTTTTTCTTTAACACTCAATATTTCGTCAATTTATTTGTTGACTTCTTCAGGAGTGAACTAAAATTTAATGAAAACAACAGGTCAAACTATATAACAGACAATTAAAACAATCGTGAGAAATACTTACAAAATTAGAGTCTACCACATAGTTCCTCAAAAACCATACTTTACAGTTAAGGTAAATGAACGAAGCGACATAATGAAACAAACGGATAAACACTTAGTATACAATTCTTAATAATGGTAGGCAAAAGTTGCGCTAACGGGGGTAGCGAAAAAAACAAAAAAAAAACAATCAAAAAATCAAAAAAAAAACAATCGATCTAAATAATGACAAAAAAAGGGGCATCAAAATAACCTACTCCGTGGATCAACAACGCAACGCGAATACGCTACTCGGTGGCCGAACATTACATTATCTGTGGTTTAACTGAAAAATGTTACAGTATATATTGCTTATTTGTTGTGTATCAGACTTGTAATTAATTGAATCTTTGTTTTTGTTAATATGGCACATTTCAAGAAACAATCGGGCTTTATAATTATTGACACGCAAAATTTTTGGATTGCTCTAGTCAAATTCATGTCCTGTTTTGTAATGCTCAACCACTGCACAAGTATTCTTATGAATACGGCAATCACTTTTGTGCTGTGTTAAACGTTGTTTTAACCACTGTGAGGTCTGTCCAATATAACAGCCTTGACAACCCAAACACGACATTCGATATATGACATTACAGTTATATAGTAGCGGAGTTGGATCTTTCACTCTAGAAAAAAGTTTAGAGACTTTTTCAGTATTATATTTAGCAATTTTTATTTCCTTGAATTCTTTGAAAATATTTATGATAGATTCTGTGAGGTTTTTAATATAAGGTATCTTTCTGTAACACATCCGAGCGTCTGGTTCCTAAACATTTTTTGAATGCACATCCTGACTTGTACATACTGCAAGCGGACAAGGGTGGTTGCACTGTTGCTATGGACAAAACCACATATATTCAAAAAACAATGGAATTATTAAACGATTCGACCACCTACACACGACTTAACCGCGACCCTACTACTTCGATTCAATTAACTTACAATAGGATAATTAAATCATTAAAAACAAAGAGAGAGCTTTCTGACAGTGAATGTAAACAACTATCGATCTATAATTCATCCTTTCCAAAGTTGTACTGTTTGCCTAAGATCCATGAAACAGATATCCCCCTGAGACCAATAGTAAGCTCGATTAACTCTGTTACGTACAACATATCGAGATTTATGGCTAATATCCTTAAAATTACGTTTACAAACACAAGTGACTATAATGTAAAAGATTCATTTACCTTTGCCAACATGATCAGCGGTTACGTACTCCCTGACAATTATGTTTTGATTTCATTGGATGTCGTATCGCTCTTTACTAATATTCCTCTCGAATTGGTAAATCAGATTTTGGATAATGAATGGAAAAAGATAAAAGAACACACTAATCTTACAAAGACAAATTTTTTCAAACTTATAAAATTTATTTTTGATAACACCTATTTTAGTTTCAATTCAAAATTCTACAAACAAATTTTTGGTACCCCAATGGGTTCTCCCATCAGTCCAATAATTGCTACCCTAGTATTGGACCATTTACTAGATCAAATTATACCCAAATTACCTTTCAAATTACCTTTTATTTATAAATATGTTGACGATCTTCTTTGTGTGGTACCATGTGACCAAACAGATATAACCTTGAGTATTTTTAATTCTTTCAACACCAACCTACAATTCACAATTGAACATGAAAAAGACTCCTATGTCCCCTTCTTAGATACCAAGGTTATTAGAACTAACAAAAATGAAATTATTTTGGATTGGTACCAGAAAGAAACTACCTCAGGTAGATTTATTAATTATTATTCCTCTCATCCACAGAACCAAAAATATAATACAATTATAGGCATAAAAAACAGAGTTACACATTTGAGCCATGACAGTTTTGTTCAAAATAACCTGAAAAAAATTTTCAACGTTTTTGTCAATAACGGATATCCAAAACATATACTTAAGAGATTAATCTATAACTCCAACACATTTGACGGTTCAACAGAGGAACCAGACGCTCGGATGTGTTACATAAAGATACCTTATATTAAAAACCTCACAGAATCTATCATAAATATTTTCAAAGAATTCAAGGAAATAAAAATTGCTAAATATAATACTGAAAAATTCTCTAAACTTTTTTCTAGAGTGAAAGATCCAACTCCGCTACTATATAACTGTAATGTCATATATCGATTGTCGTGTTTGGGTTGTCAAGGCTGTTATATTGGACAGACCTCACAGTGGTTAAAACAACGTTTAACACAGCACAAAAGTGATTGCCGTATTCATAAGAATACTTGTGCAGTGGTTGAGCATTACATAAAAACAGGACATGAATTTGACTACAGCAATCCAAAAATTTTGCAATGTGTCAATAATTATAAAGCCCGATTGTTTCTTGAAATGTGCCATAGCAACAAAAACAAAGATTCAATTAATTACAAGTCTGATACACAACAAATAAGCAATATATACTGTAACATTTTTCAGTTAAACCACAGATAATGTAATGTTCGGCCACCGAGTAGCGTATTCGTGTTGCGTTGTTGATCCACGGAGTAGGTTATTTTGATGCCCCTTTTTTTTGTCATTATTTAGATAGATTGTTTTTTTTTTTTTGATTTTTTGATTGTTTTTTTTTTGTTTTTTTCGCTACCCCCGTTAGCGCAACTTTTGCCTACCATTATTAAGAATTGTATACTAAGTGTTTATCCGTTTGTTTCATTATGTCGCTTCGTTCATTTACCTTAACTGTAAAGTATGGTTTTTGAGGAACTATGTGGTAGACTCTAATTTTGTAAGTATTTCTCACGATTGTTTTAATTGTCTGTTATATAGTTTGACCTGTTGTTTTCATTAAATTTTAGTTCACTACTGAAGAAGTCAACAAATAAATTCACGAAATATTGAGTGTTAAAGAAAAAAGGAGCTTTCTATTTTAACCACGGACCGCTACCCGATATCCTTTGAATTCAAATAAGTTTAGTACGGTCGATATAATAAGAAATTCCAAGTGTTAGTATATATATATATATATATATATATATATATATATATATATATATATATATATATATATATATATATATATATATATATATATAATTATTATATTAATATTTTTCGATGTTTACTTTTAAACTACTAAAAATGAATGTTTTAATTTACACCGATTATGACCTTTCTCTTGATTCTGATTAGATATCCCTCCTATAACCCCTAATTTCTTAATAAGTAATTTTATCGCGAACAAGCATTATGTACTGTGGTTCTGAGATTATTTCTTGTTCCATTGTTATAATTATAAAATGACTTTTTGTAAAATTTTACTTATTTATTGCAAAGTAGTTGATGAACATTTATTAATTCATTTTATGAAGACTTTTTCTTGCAAATTAACTTCTACTTTCAGCTTTTGTTAAGGGAATTAACCATGACAGACTAACCGCTTTATACAAAATTTCGGTTAGTTTTGAAACACATTATTATCGTAGTTTTATTTTTATTAATTTATAATTAATTAATAATAATGGGTATTGCTGACAAAGCTTATCAACAGAGTTACTGAAGTGACGAAAAGTTAACACTTACAAATATAGTTTCTTTTCGGACACAACTCTTGTATATTGTAATGGCGACAGATTAAATAAAATGAATACATATCTTTGCGAAATGCTGTATATAATGTATTTTACGCACATTTTATTCATTCAACAAAATTAAACAAAAATTCATATAATCTGTACGATATCCGCTTTAGTTAATTATAGATTATATAAGTGCTAAAAGATGTTTTCTGCTAGACTGGTCCAGTACAATCAGTATTTTTGCAAAAACTCAAAAATAGCGAAATTACAGGGTGGCAATAAAATTTTTCTTAATAACGTTTTTTCTTTAATTTGAAAGCTATTAAAATTTGCAAAAAATAAATTAAACCAAAGTTTGAGCAACTTCTCTTACGGTCTAGGTCAACTAAAGTCCTTTGGCATTAAGGATTTTAGGTCAAATTTGGTATGAAAATAAAAATAGTACAAACTAGAAAAAGAACACATTAAGTAGAATTCATTATAATAACTTTGACTTTTCGAAATAACATTATATCAACCTTACTGTCAATTTCTCCATTAGAGTCGGCCCTTAAGTTTTAACTTGTAGTAAGAATTTCTGAGTTAATGCGATATGACTCACCGTTGTGAACCAGAAGGGTTGAATCTCTTGCTAGGGCCAGTTCGGAATCAGTAAGGGTAGCGTCTGATGCGTTTTCGGACGAAGGGGTGTCACTGAGTCCCGCCGGTTGTTGATAGAGCGGGTGCTGATAAGTATGCGGACCCCCGTATCTCCTGGGAGATTCCTCACCTTCAGAACCACTTAGGCTATAGGCCGGATATAAGCGTCCCTTTCCTATAACAAAACAGAATTGTGGTAAAAGCGTGGTATCAATAGTCTTAGACTAGGTTCTTTTAAACTACAGCGTAGGGATAACCTTTCTCAAATCCAACATGGCATGTGTGGTTTTTAAGATTGATTTATTTGTTACCTATTTGTGTTATAATTCGCTTCGCTTCGCTTTCGCAATTCTAATGAAATGCTTCAAAAAACATTTTTTAATTATTTTATTATTACTATTATTATTATTATTATTATTATTCCAGATTATGGGACCAAACCGGCTAAACTTAATGAATGCAGATACTAGACAATTTTTGGATCGGCTAAAATTATTATACATTAGAAGTTAACGTCGATCTAATTCCAGTATAGTTTTTACTTTTTGCAGAGAGGTTTTCAAATCGCTTTATAATTTACAATGTACGATTTTTTTAATGGATTCCAGGGGATCAATTCATTTGTGACGGAATAAGGCGCGTTGGTGATGGCAGGCAATAGCTGGTTTTTCTATCCTCTGCAGGATGTTAGTATTGAAGTCACTATTAGTATCCCACAGACTTGGGAATGGTCTTGTATAGCAGAATACCTAATCATCCAAGTATAATTTTCGGCCAATGAGTCAATACATTTCGCTTAGTTTAAGTCCCAGCTGCTTGAGTCTAGTAAATGTATGTTTTCTCTCTCGCTTGTGGGAGATGACAATTGTTAATCTTCCCAGGGGGACATGTTTCCTTGCGTAGTGCGAATATCACATGCGTATTGGATTTTATTTACTTTGAAGCTTTCTTCAAGCTGATGCTGGGTGTAATGCGAGAATCGCAGTGCCATCATGTTGCTATGAAAGTAGTTCTTGTTGCTATGCTCAAGAGATATAATATTGGTCCAATCAGACTTCATTGGAGGAATATAGACGGGATAGACGCTTCTTTAATTTAACTTGCAGGCTAGTTTGCCACAACTTTTTAAATATCGAGGAAAGAGTATATTTGATTAACCAGCCTGATGATTTGGGCTACTTTCCATGTGCTAGAAAAGTGATTTATGCCCAGTATGGCGTTGAATGTAAATGTTTTAAACATTTTTCTGAGAGTTCTTGCAGAGATTGAATCGAATCTCGTTGCTTTTTTGATATTAATTTCTTTCATTATTGTTTGTTTGGTTTAACGTCAACTGAGCTGTAAACAATGCCTCGCAAATCAAGCGTCCGACTAGTTGAAAGTGATATGAGAGACAAATTGAAGTCCAAAATATCTCATTTCATCAACATAATTCAAATATAAGTATAATTAATAACGAAACCGTTAAGTTTCCGTTTAAGGATCCCCGAAATGTATTTTATTGGTATGCCGAGTATTTTTGTGCTTATGCAAGTTTCTGTTACCGTCACAAACAACAAGTCGAATTGGGTTTGGACGCGTTCGCAGAGATGGAGCCGTTAAAAAATCTCGTTGATGTCGGGAATGAAACGAATATCGAAAAGAATTTCAATTTTCCACGGATCCATATAAGCTGAGAAAAAAGTCGTGTATAGCACGCAGCGAAAAGGATACCGACACAAAGAGGAGTAGGCAGCATAACTCTTCGAATTCTAACCGCGTGCAAACGTGACGTGTAACTTATAACTTAGAAATAAAGGAGATAAATCATTTTCCCCGAGTTCAGTGCCGTAGACGTTCGCCGCATACCTTTATTGTAACGTATATGCGGTCGAATACCTGAAACTTCTCTTGCGCCTGGTTCTTTTTTTTTTTTGTAAAAAGCTCAACGAATTCGAAAGATATAGAAATGTTGTGTATCCGTGAAAGTTTCCGATACGTTCTAGAGTTCTTTAGTGGAGTACTTTTTAAGTGGTTTATGTTGTGTTGTAAATAGTTATTCACAAGCTATGGTATTTTATTGAAAAATTTGGTACACATATCTTTCTCAGTACCGATGAGTGGGGTATTTTAAGTATATCTGTGCTGGTATCATACCAGGTGCTATTGTAACAGTCTTCTTCTTCTTCTTCTTACTACGCCCTCTCCTTTCGAAGGTCGGCGATCCAAATGGCTATTGTGGCTCGGGAAACTGCAGCCCGGAATATTTCTATTGATGAGCGATTAAACCACCTCCTGAGGTCCTTGAGCCACGAGTTTTGACGTCTTCCTATCGATCTTTTACCTTGGACTTTGCCCTCTATTATCAGCCTCAGAAATTCATATTTTTCGCCCCTCATAACATGGCCAAGATACTGCATTTTTCTTTGTTTTATTATATTTAATAATTCGCGAGACCCGTGCATGCGATTCAAAACCTCATTATTGGTGATTTTCTGTACCCATGAGATCCGCAGTATTCTTCTATATATGTACATCTCGAACGCTTCTAGTCTCTTCTCTGTTTGAGCATCGAGTGTCCAGCTCTCGCATCCATAAAGCAAAACAGAGAAGATGAAGCATTTCACCATTCTCAATCTGAGCTCAAGACTTATGTCAGATCTTATGAAGAATACCCTCATGCTCATAAATGTTCTTCTCGCCTGCTCGATTCTCGACAATATTTCCTTCTTCGGATTACATTGACTATTGATATTGGCTCCCAGGTATTTGATTGAGTCGACTTGTTCAACTGGCTTCCCATTAACATTTAGATGTACATGAGTAACCGTTTTTGAGAACGCTAGTGTTTTGGTTTTGGCGACATTTAATTTCAATCCGAAAAAGTGGCTATAATGGACTATGCGATCTATCATGATTTGTAGCTCGGACGGACTGCTTGCCATGACAACAGTGTCGTCCGCGTACCTGATATTGGTTATGCTGATGCCATTGATCTTTATTCCTCCGTTAATTCCATCCATTGCCTCTCTGAATATAGCCTCCGAGTAGAGGTTAAACAATAGTGGGGACAGCACACAACCCTGGCGAACTCCCCTCTTGATCAGTATCTCATCTGATATGTTTTGCTCGATGTTGACCACTGCTGTTTGCCTCCAGTAAAGTTCTGAAATAATACGTAAGTCCTGCTCATCGATACCGGTTGCTGTTAGTATTTCGATCATCTTTTGATGGTTGACGCAATCGAATGCTTTGCGGTAGTCGATAAAACATGCATATACGCTTACATTCATGTCCCTGCATCTTTGTGTTAACACTTTCAGAGAGAAGAGTGCTTCGCGTGTACCTAGTCCGTTTCGGAATCCAAACTGAGTTTCGCCTATTTGCATTTCGCATTTCCTGTATATTCTTGTGTGGACAATTCTAAAAAATATTTTGAGCACATGGGACATGAGGCTAATCATTCTATAATCGTCACAATTAGAGGCATTGACTTTTTTGGGCAGCGTTATAAAAGTTGACTTTAGCCAATCGGCTGGTATCTTGCCCGAACTATAGATCTTGTTAAACAGTGATGTTATCAAATCCAAGCTTTTGCCTTCATTATCTGCTATTAGTTTAAGTGTTTCTGCATGAATTTTGTCTGGCCCAGTAGCTTTTCTATTTTTTTGTGATCTGATGGCGTGCATGACCTCATATTTGGATATTACTGGACCTTTTTCGTTTAGTTCGCTGTTATATGAGGGTGGGGTGTGTGTTCTTTCGTCGTTGTATAGCTGTTCGATGTACTCATGCCATCTTTTCAGTTTAGCATCTAATCCCGTAATTATTTCATTGTGTTTGTCCCTAAGTATTGATGCATGGTGTCGCCTGTGTTTGCCTGTCATCTCTTTTATTCTTTTATGCAGATTAAAGCTGTCATGTTTTGATTGTAGCTCCTCTATTTCTTGGCATTTTGTTATCAACCATTGTTCCTTTGCCTCTCTGCATTTCTTTCTAATAGTTCTATTTAGTTGTTTGTATTCTGTCGGCTTTGTTTTAAGTTTCCTTCTCTCATTCATTAGGTCCATAATTTCCTGTGTCATCCACTCTTTCTTCCTGTCGTTCTTTATGTAGCCGATGTCCTGTTCCTCTATGTTGGTTATTTTGTTTTTAAATATGTTCCATATCGTCTCTATTTCCCTTTCTGGTGCCAAACTGACTGCTGCTTCTATTTCACTTTCTATTTTCAAACTTATTTCTTGTTTCTTTTTGGTGTTATTCAGTTGTGCAAAGTCTATTTGTTTTGTGATCTTTTCCCTTTTGGTATTCATAAATCGTTTGAGTTTGAAGTCTATCACCACAGGATTGTGGTCACTATTAATGTCTGCGCCAGGGTATGTTTTCACTGCTTTTATGTATTTTTTGAATTCCTGTCCTATGAGAATAAAATCAATCTGGTTTCTGATAATCGTCCCCTCTCTGTCTGCAGGTGATCTCCAGGTATATAGTCTTCTGGGGTGAAGCTTAAAAAAGGTGTTAGTTATGATTAGATTGTTTTCTACACAGAACTGTATCAGTCTGTCGCCTCTTTCATTGCGCGTTCCAAGACCGTAATTCCCTACACTATCTCCATCAGAACCACGGCCTACCTTGGCATTGAAGTCACCAATAACCATACTTATTTCACCCTTCCTTGTCAGTCGCATGGCTTCATCAACTTGGGAGTAGAATTCTTCCATTTCTTGGTCTGATTTGTCCTGTGTTGGAGCGTAGATCTGGATTATGTTTAAATTTCTGTGGGTTGTTTGTAGTTTTAGCATCATGACCCTATCACTTAGGGGAATGAACTCTGTCACTGACTTTGCTATTCTCTCTGAGACAAGTATTGCCGTTCCATATCTATGGTCCGGATCAGTGCCTCCTGAATAGTACATGGTCCCTCTTTTAGTTTTTTGTTTTCCAGAGTTAGGCCATCTGACTTCACTCATTCCCATGATATCTATGTTCAATCTGTTCATCTCGCATTCAACGTTTGTAAGTTTTCCTGCCATAAATAAGCTGCGTGTATTCCATGTGGCAATGCGGACGATTTTACCGTAGATTTTGAATTTTTCGCTGTCTCTATCTGCATATTTCTCACTAGTGGAAGACGGGGGTATTCTTCGCACCCTCTCCCCACTTAAGGGGTGCCCCGGACTGAGGGCCGTTTTTGTG